AAGGTGCCTATAACGATTGGTACTATCTTTGCTTTCTTTTGCCATAGTCATTCTACTTCTATTTGCAGGTCTTTATATTTTGTGATTTTTTTCCAGATCTTTCTCTTCTCTTCTGCTGTCTCCAGATACTGCAATGTCCACCATCCAGACTTTTTTGTTTTTCTTATCAACAGTTGTTAAGTCTGCGGTGTTGTGTGGCAGGTGCTTGTTTGTCTGAATTCTAAAGTCCCAGAGCACTTTGGCTGCTTCGTTTTCTATTACTTTGTCTGTTTTGTGGTCCCACCAGTTCTTGCTTATAGGCCAATGGTATTTCTTACAGATATTCCAATGCATCATTGTTGCTACATCATCATCATCATCATCATCATCTACAAATCCAAGAACTAACCAAACTATTCTGGCTCAAATGAGCCCCATTTCATTTCATAAAATTTGTTACATGCCCCAGACGATGAAAGAAGCTAAAAGAAGCAATAATTTTGTGATAACAAAAAGGAAAAACAAACAAACCTCGGATTAAAAACTTCCAGTGATAAGAATGCCATTATAAAGTATTTAGTTGTAGCATATTGTCTATTTTTATAACTTTCCTTGCCCTACATAGAATATTACTGTTTCAGGGCAAAGAAAAATCAAGACAGAGATTTATCATTTATTTTCTTCTATGCAGCTTTTTGGTCTGACAAAATTGTAAACCGTGGAATATGGAGAATAAATTGCTGACTCTTGAAACCAAAAATAAAGACTAACCACGTGGAGAGATTCCTCTATGGTGGAGACCAGTGATTTTGTCAGATCTAGGGGTAAGCCTCAAAGCAAAAACTGCTTATTAACATAAAACCCCAAACTTTTTTGTAGTGGAAAAGAGGAAAAGTGTGTCCATTTTGTTTCATATGTACAAAAAAGTAAGCAAACAAATATCCAGGCTGCTACTGCTAAAAACAACAAAAAACAGTTGGCAACTCAGTTTATAAAACAGTATGCCTACTACATTTTATCTTGTATAATTGGGCACAAGGCACAAACAAAATTGTATCTGCAATTCCCCTTCTGAGTAAGTTTTGTTTCATGCAGGCATCCACAAAGACAGAGGAAGAGGGCACTAATTCTGTATGGAAGATGAATAGCATTGTATGTATGCATATATGATTCTCTTGCTGCTTTGATGAAATATTTGGGGAGGGGGAAGAGGCGGAGATGAACACCTTAAGGGGAGGTGTATAACCTGGATTCCTTCCATGAAGAATTTTTGTCGTTATTAAAACTATCAGCCAAATCACATTCAGAATGGTTTACCTGGGTCACAAAAGTAGAAAGCTGTATGTCATCAAGGTGATGTGCCCACATAGAGGGTTGCCTGAAGGCTCTGTACTTCTTAGAAACCTTAAAACAGGAGCAAAGATTAAGCTGGGGTAGGAATGGCCCACAGTATATGGTGGTGGATCACAAAAGCAGAGGTCACATTCAAATCTTTGAAGAATTCTGAAGACTGTTGGATGGGTGTTAACCCTTCAGCATAGCTTTTTACAGCAATGATACATTTTTTCCTCATGAAAGTGCCCAATTTGACCAAGTGATAGTCATAGCATTAAAATAACTCTTGAGGAGCATTGCTTTAATCTGCCCAGGCAATAGAGTCAGATAGCTACCTGAACTGCACAGATCACAAAACAGAATGAGAACTGAACAGATGGAGGAAGGAAGTGATGAAAGCCCAAGAATAGGAGGCATGCCACACAGGCATGCAAAATACATAATTTAAGCACATAAAGTTGCAGACCCCTTCATGGATCACTGCCTTGTCGTGGCGAAGGGGCTTGCGTAACTCAGTGAAGCCATGAGCTATACCGTGCA